GAGCCCCCCCTCTTTGGTTTAGAGTCAGCTTGTCCTGGTCTAGCAGCCTGGCAACTCTGGCCCTACAACAGGGATCTATGAGAACCACAAATGGTAAAGAAAAAGTCCCTTATTGCTCACAAATAGAAATCAATAAATGACTACTGGTTTTCTTGGTTTGCACAGCCTATAAAATCCTGTTCCTGGCTTGTTTCAAACTACACCCTTAGTCATGAGCTTCTGTAGAGACCATGGAGGACCAGGCCTCTTGGAAACAAAGCCTGAGAGGTTCCCAGCTGCCTGGGCTGAAGGAATTTCCCACTGTTACACCCAACTTCTATTCTCCTTTCAGGACAGACCAATTGTCACAAGGACTTGCAGTCCAGGGATTTAGATATAAAGCTTGTGCTCCAATCTTCACCTTTTAATTGCAAGAATCTACTCAAAGGAAAAGGTTTGTAAGGCAAAACTCTGGGAAAATCTATATGACTGCACTCCAGCTTTAACAAGAACTGCAAATAATAAAACAGGCTTTATGGAATATCTGTAACTGTATTGTACTGAGGACTAAAAGTACATAGAATTAGTAAGTGATCTGCAGATACCTGTCAGGGCAACCCATCCACATGCAGAGATCTTCTGTATACTTCTCAGTCTGGACAAGCATCTATTTTTATTTAGCAAGGGGGAGAAGGATGGCAGCTTAACAGGTTTGACAACAAAAACTTTGGCTCACAAAATGCATATTCTTTGAGAGAGATGAAATTCAGAGCTGGATCCACCTCTGGTGCTTGGGTTCATTTTGTTACCAAAATAAGAACGTATCCCAAACGAGTCATTCAGTAAGAGATGAAGTGCTGCCCTTCTTGCAATGACTTCTAGATCTGACCCAAGGGTCATTAAAGTAGTGAGATCTGAGGGACCTCTTATTATACATGATTTCAATCATTTATTTTTTTTTAAAATACCTCTATAAAGCCTTTTTCTTTAGTGCCACAGTCTCCCTCACATAAAAAGTCTAACAGTGGCAGCTGCTTCTGTTTTCACTACAATACAGTTTCCATAGTCCTATCAATGGACTTTTAGATGCACACATCTTAATTCTACAGAACACTTAAAGAGTGAACTGCAGTGCTGTGATTGTCCTGATCCTGGTTTGGGGGCCAAACCCTCAGCAACTGCCAAATCTGTATTCCCCCCAGGATGGGCCAGCCATGGGGAAGGGATGCAGAACTGGTGCCTTGCCCATCTGCATGCAGACATTGGGCCATTCTGAGTGCAAAATTCTGCCCCTCTAACTTTTTATGCCTCCTACCTACTGAAGAGACCTTTGGGAAGGCTGTTTAATGAGACCCATGACAACCAAAGGGCACTCAGAGTGTGCTCTCTGTCCAAGTTTCACCCTCAGCTCAGCCTGAGTGAGGATGAGCTTCAACTCCAGTGAGTGCTTCTCCCCACTACTACTTGCTGATGGTAAAGAAGAGAAAAGAGCCTTAGAAGACAGGACAGGAGGAGCTCAGAGAGACACAAGCCCAGCTTAATGACAAAAGTGCCTTTCTCAGAGAGCTGCATTGTCCTCTGGCCAGCAGCCCTGTGCAGGAGGTGCCACGGGTGGGCAGTCACGGGCGAGCCTGCAGAGCTATGTGCATGAGCTCTTGCTCGTCAGAGGGCACCAGAGGATTTTGGTTTTATTTTCCTGGCTGCATGCTAAAGGCTGCTTCCCTTCCTGAGCAGGCTGTGCTGTGTCCCTGGCCTCTCAACCCTACATATTTAATGCTGGAGCCCAAGCTGAGCGGGCAGCAGCACCGAGGACTCACACAAAGCTCAGGATGGGGCTAATCTTCTCCAAAGCTGTAAATCAGGAGGTTTAGTTTTACCCTGGGAGGAACCTCAGTGGAGGTTTCATGTAAGCAAAAATGTGCATGGGCATGCAGACCTGCAGAATTAAGGCTTTTATACGTGTTACAAACATACATCTGGGGGTCTTAGTATTTATGGAGCACCTCAAAGTCCCAAGGCATCTCACAGGGTCTAGACACAAATAACATTGCCAGCCAGGTTCTGCCTCAGGAAATCCTTTCCTTTTGACACAGGGGCTTAATTATGCTCACAGAAGACCTGTTGAAAATAATGTGATTTTGGTACAAGTCCAGAATTAGTCGTTAGTGCTTCTCTGCAGGAGGCTGGAATACAAACATTTACTGAAGTGCTTTCCTAAGTTCTGGCTGGAGTGCTGTGTAACCTGGCTTTGCACTCCTTATCTCTTCACAGTGCTCAGGGTTGTAGAACATCTGAGGACAGGGATGGAAAAATAAATCTTTCCTGAGCAAAACTGCAGGTAGAACTGGGAAAACAAGCAGAAAGTCTCCTGACCCAGATTTGCTAGGATGCCTCTTTTGAAAGGCCACAGTATGGTGATGTGTGAAAACATGTCTCACCCAGCCTAGTACCCTGCCTCTGCCAGGGGCCACCTGTGGACCTGGAGGGACCACATCTAGGATGGGATGCCTAGGAAAAGTATCCTCCAAAATCCTTCACTAACTCCTAGAAATATGGGCAGGGTCTCAGTTGCCATCTACGTGACACCCTCTGAGCACAGCTCCCTTTAATGATTTTGCTGGGCCAAGGACCCAGTTCAGTACCAGCTGAGAGCTCCTTGCTTTGCTATGCTGTGGGTGGCTCTGCTATGGCAACAGATAAGTGGTCAATCTATCCATTGATATTAACTTCATTAACTTTGTGAAATAAAAAGACTATGTGACAGCTCCTCTGAAACCCAGTTTGGCCAGGAGTTTTTTGTCTGTGTGCTGGGCTGCAGTGGGTGGATGTTAAAGGATCATTGACACCTTGGACACCTTGTTCATCATGTTCCTGTGACATGTAGCACTCAGGCTCCAGCCCTGGAGAAGAAATTGTACCAGAGTGTGTACTTTCCACAGGGAGACCTGACTGGGTACAACCAGCTTCACTCTTCCCTCTGCAGTCATTTGAGATGACTTCCATTCCTGTGTGAAGAGCCAGTATCTGGTGTAAGCACCACTTCCATCCCATTTCAGCATTATTTCCAGGGCTGAAGTGCAGCTGATGCTGTACCTTGTGCAGCTCTCTTGGGTAGGGGTGAAGTTCACTGTTGGTTCCCCTGACACTGTGGGTTTTTCCCATAGCAGCAAGGAACAGAGAAGACAATAAAGAGTATGGAAAATACAATTACAGAACCACAAATATTGGCAAGACTGACCTAGCTGTGCCCTCTGGAACGATCTCCAACTTTCTTTTTAAATCAAGCAGATTTCCAGCTGCCTGTATGTCTTTAATTAAAGAGATGTCCTTTCAAATGGCTTATAAAAATGTAACGGCACATTTCTGGGTCCTGGTTTTGAAGGATGATTAAGCTGTGCTCCTTTGCCTCAAAGTTACCCTGCAACTAAGAACATTTTAAAAAAAAAATGTGTTATAAAAGGAACTGACTTCTAACTAGACCAAAAAGCAGAGAGTACAATTTTCCCTTCTTCCTGTGTTAAAGAAACAAACTGGCCAAAATTTTAGGGCTAGTTCTAAACACATTTGTTCCTGAACAAGATTTGACAAACCCAATTTTGGCTGGAAGTTGGTTTCCATGTCTAACGAGTAAATCCACAATGAGATTAAAGGCAGCAAAGAACCATAATAGTTGCATTTTGAGATGCTGCCATGACACCATCAAGTCAAAATGTTTGACCTCTCCATGAAATTTCAGTGTAAGATGAATTGTTGATTCTATGGACTTACTCAGGAGGGAGTAATGTGATTCAAATCATCTGACTGTTGTCAGAAATCGTTTACTCTTGTATAACAGTAAGCTGAAAGAGCTTCTTCACAGTTGAGTATCTTCACTGAAAAACTAAATCATACACTGAGTAAGTCACAGTAAGCTCTTCCCTGGAAAGCAGAGCTCAGGATGAACTAAATAATCATCACCTGAACTAAATAATCATCACAGGTGATGATTACTTAGGTGTTTTGATTCGTGTTAGTTCTGTTTATTCTCAAATTCCCTCCCCTCTACCCAAAATATTTTGCCATCTGTATCTATATACAAATTGTAAGTGTTCCATTATGCTTGCCACAACGTTGAGAGGGACTCTGGAGGGCAAGAACCACCTGAACTCTTGTGTTTGAGAACAAGCAGGCAAAAACTGCCATCAAAACATAAGAAGTGAAACCCACTAAGAAAAAAATCCAAACCAAACCAGGAAGTAAACATATCAGCCAGCTGCCTCCTGCTCCATCAGCAATTTCTGACACTGATATCAGCATCTCCAGACCCTTTCTAAGAATATTCTTGTCATCCACATAATGTGCAGCTTTTACCAAGCAGCTCCTGGAAATCCTGCAGACACTCCTTTAGCCTACCAGTCAGGTTTTGGTCTGTAAAGTGAAGAAAACACATGATGTTACACTAAATCTTTGCCAGCTACTGAATTGTGACTTGAAGGCAGGCCATTAATGTACTGACAACTCCTAATAGCACAAAATCTAGCAGAGGACTAAAAGGACGGAGTGAAGCTTTGTACTTCTCTTTCTCTCCTTCATATTGTACAACACTTGCCTAGAACAGAGCTCGGAGTAAAAGCCAACACAACTGCAGTTTTAACTCAAGTCTCAGCAATCTCTGTTAACTCAGAGCTCTCTCACAAATAAAGGCCTTCAGAATGTACCATTTCCAAGGCTCCTGCTCGACGAAAGCAGGCTTCCCAGGGGTGCAGGGTGCTGCTGCACCATCCTTCTCGAAGCCACGTGCACCCCCTGCAGAAACAAGGCAATGATAAATCCTGGAGTCGGATCATGAATTGACCAGTGAATGGGAATTCAGATTTCTGGATGGAACTCTTGAAAAAGCTGGGGTCAGTCAACAAAAACAGTGTCCATCCGTAACAAACTATGAACAGACAGACAAACGTAACAAAGATACCTTTTTTTTTTTCCAAAAAAACACCCCAAACATCAACCCCAATCGACCAAGTGTAGAAAACACTCAAGCTGTCATTTCAGTTGTGTATTTAGGAGCCACTGGAGAGTTACACGACTGCTCTCAAGCACACGGGGAAACTGGAGGTGTCCATCTCCCACGTGGACAAAAGGAACAGAAGCAGATGGTGGAACCACGTCCAGGCAGACACAACTGTTGCTATTGCTTCTCGTGACCATCTCAGAATGGAGTGTGCAGGAGTGACAGTGCTCTGGAGGCATGTGCATGACTGGTCCAAATCCTAGAAAGCTGACTCAGTCCCTCCCTGTGACCCTCCCCTGTGGTTTAGTGTTGGATCTCTGTTTGCTTTTCAGGATTTCACCTCTTCGCAGTCTTGATCAGTGGAAAGCTCCACGTCGGACAGTCCCACCTCCATGGCCATGATCAATGAAATGTCTGAATCACTGCTGACTGCTGGCTCCTGTTCATCTGTGAGGGGAGAAAAGACAGGGGAGGTGCATCATGGTCATGTCTTTCTGTCAACATACTGCTGTTGTTTAGTTCTGCAGATAGGACCTAGAGGTTTCTCCAGCACTTATGATGTGCTTAGATTCCAAACTTTGCTCTTATTCAGTATCTGTCTACAGCATTTCAAGTCTATCAGAAAGCTCAAGCCATCAGTAGCAAGAAACATGATGACAAGGAGCCTGGATGAGCAGCACTTTCTTCTTCTAATCCTCCCAGGGCTATTCATCCACGATTCCAAACTTTGCTCTTATTCAGTATCTGTGTGCATCATTTCAAGTCTATCAGAAAGCTCAAGCCATCAGTAGCAAGAAACATGATGACAAGGAGCCTGGATGAGCAGCACTTTCTTCTTCTCCTAACCCTCCCAGGGCTCTTCATCCACACCCTTCATCTCCACGACCTTCCACGTCCTGTCTCCTTTCACTCCCTCAGCCTGGCATCATCCTACTCCTCCCACAAAGGCAGCAAGTTAAGGACAAAGTCACAGGCACCTGGTGGCATGGGCCAGCCATCAGGAGAACACTTCCAGCTGGAAAAAAATCTGCCCAAACCCCCACTAGGTAAAGGAGCAATATGGGTGTCATTAGTCCTGCCCCAGGACTCTGGGCTAGGCCACCTGCCTTCTCAGATGCCTTCTCTCATCCTTTTCCATCTCTTTTCTGCTCACCCTTCCCTCTGACTTAAAGGTACCTTGCAGGTTCTTGATCCAGACTGAAGGGATCCACCATGATCCCAAAAATGGTAAGAGTCAGATTATTGACTTTTGCTAAACTGCAAATCCCATCAAACCCACAGGCACAGGAGAAGGAATTTGTGTTTGTTTTGATCCCAGAGCACATACTACACGTGTATTTAATTGCAGGTAAAGCCAGCAGATTTTAAAGGACTAAAAGCTAATTTTATTTCAAGAGCAATCAGGAGAAGCAAAGCACTCTAGATCTTTGGTGAGTTTTCAAAGGCACAAAAATCCCATAGGTGGTTGAGTTCCTGAGAGAAAAAGCTGATGGTTCATATCTTCAAAAGGTTTAATTACAGTGACTATATTCACACCATAACAATGCAACATATTTAAATCTATGCCAGTTTTTCCTTTACATATTTTATTTTTCAGACAACACAAGCAGAGCCTGATGGATGCTAAAAAGTCCAGAAGTTGAATATCTAAGAATTAATAAGTAAGAAATATTACAGTGGAGCCAGGAATATAATAACTCCTCACAGTTTAATTATTCACTTGAAACTAAGTGAACACCATTAGTCTCAAGAGTTGCATGATTTTAAAATCTGTTTTAGTGAAAAAACCCCATTTATTTACTTGTGCTGGGACTAGACCTCACGTTCTGCAGGGGAAGCTTGAGTGGGGTCTGCATTATTCAACCTGAAAAGAGCCAGTGCTTTCCTTTACAGCCCTCCCCAATTCTCACCCTGGATTATTTTTATACTTTCTTGATTGCAAGATAAATAATAAATGCACACAACCTCTTTATAGCTGTCTATTTTGTTCCTATCAATATGACAGTAAACATTTCAAGGCATTGTTTCTATGTTTCCACTGAATGGGGAGGGAGTACTTAGGAACTGGGATATGACAGTAAACATTTCAAGGCATTGCTTCTATGTTACTTAGGAACTGGATGGTATCTCCTGCAGCCTTCACTAGGCTTCAATGCCACTGAACCTTCAGATGAGCTGCTAGATCCAAGAGTGCAAAAGGGCATCACATTTACCTCGAAGCCCAAAAGCATCATCTGTAGCAGTAACAGCTCCCTGAGCCAGAACAATGTGGTTCCAGACCACTGGGTTATTCATCATTCCTCTGGCATTAATAGGAATCTTAAAAACAATGAAAATAACGCTTTAAATGTTGACCCAAGACCAAGTTTACAGTTGCATGATGGAGTTCCTGAGGCTTAGCCATGCTCAACAGCCACGTGGAGCACTCTTGGGAGAATGGTGATTTCCACCTGAAGTAGCTGTGAGAACAGGACTGGATGAATGGTGACAGACACATATGCTGAAGAGGCCAACACCCAATGTCAGAGCATCAAGTGAGGAGTGTTTATGGTGCTGAAATTTTATTTCAAAATTTGCTTTTTCTTCTAGGGTTGCACAGCAGAAAAAGCTCTCAACTTTTGAGTTTGAGACAGGCAGATAGAACAGCAGCAGATTTACAGCTCACCTACCAACCACCTAACCTATATTCAGGAACATCTGCTTTCCAAACCAGCAAGCTTGAGTTTTAAATTAAAAATTCTATGCAATTATTCAAATTCTTGGACTTCAGTCTTTCCAAAGCATGGCCTTTGTAGTTTGTCTTCTTTGGGACTCAAGTGCAGGTCGGTAGGAACAATAAAAAAGGATCCTAAAAATGCACATGCCTGTGCCCTGACATTGCTCTTCCAGTGCTGCAAAAGAAGCAGGAACACTCCACCAGGCACAGATCAGCTGCACTGTGGCTCCTCCACCAGCACACAGGCTTTCCAGGCTCTGGTGGTTTGGTTTTTGCTTGGCAAGCTGCTCAATAACGTGAGCCAGCACAGCTAGTGACATTTGTTAAAGGTAAGCAAACCTCAACTGAACTGCAAGTGCCAGGAGCTTAGCCTGCATTTTGCATCTCTGTTTTTCAGATCTTATTTACAGTGACAACACTTCCACAATCACCCAGCTTCTGTAAAAGGCACCTGGCTCACTGCTAACAACTTTTAATGACCTTTTTTGCAAGTTTTTTTGAAATTTGGTGTTCTTCCAAAAGCCCTGAAATGAGGTGAGGATCTCGACTTTCAGTGAAGATCTCAGCTTTCACTTAAAAATAAATGAATCTTAAGAAGTAAAAAGGAAATAAAGAGTTTAAAAAGCACAACCCTAATTTCTAGACCGATTTTCTGTTGGAATATCTGAGTGGTGAATTCAGATGTTTGAGACTGGCCAGCCTAACAACACACACTATGATACTTCCACAGTGTTTTACAGCACTTCATGCCACGGGCTTGAAGCCTTTTGCTTAATGAAGCAAAAAGCACATCCCAAGCTGCTTTTCAGCCTGAGCACAAGTGCCTACAGCAGGCAACTGTAGACCTCCCTGCCACATTCCTCTCATGTCAGTGAAACACAATACACCACAGCACGCTGCCTGCTTCCAGACAGACTTTTTCCACTCACTTCTAACCCCTGACACACATTCGTTGGAGAGGTGCAATAAAACAAACTCCTTTTCTAGCCAGTATTACTTTAAATTGAATTATGCTAATGCAGGAAGAAGATCAGCACGTCTTTATGGAACTGCCCTAGGTAATAGTGGACAGCCCTTGTTGCAAAGTTCATTAAGTGATGTTTAGATTTGAGTATAACTGCAATCAAACGAGGATGAAAATAGCTAATTAGTCTGGTGCTTTAAAAACAGTAAGATTTGCACACTAGTAATAGTTATCTACTGCTGCTGCTACTCCTAACACTTGGAGTAATCCTGTAGCTGTGGCACACTTAATAAATATTCCATAAGGAAAAGTTCAGACGATGGGTTTCTAAGAATCTGATCTTCATTGCAAGAGTCTTGGCAGGGACCTAAGCATTCAAAATAGGGAGTGAAAAGTGCAATGACAATAACATTCTTCTGCCATGTGTAGGCTGAGCCTCCAGGCATGGGCTCAAATCGAGATGTGCTTGTAATGACCCACTTGAGGATGAGGAACCAGCTGCTGTAACCATGGTGGGTTTTGCTCTCATGGAGGCCTCACTCCTGCTCACCACGGTGCTCCTCCTCAGGAAGCTGCATCTGACTGATATCCCTAGGACATGGGCAGTGCCATGGGGCTCTCATAAAACTGCTCCTCCTTGTTCCACAGGCTGAGATTTCCTCCAGGTTCACAGAGCTGGAAAAGCTGCAGAACCCTATGGCTGGGCTAAAAGGTCAACAAGCAGTTTGCATGGAGGAAATCAGCAGAAAAATAAGAATACACTAAAACGTTATACAGCAAAAGCTTCTCAGCATTGAATGCCTAGAAGGTTTATATAAGATGCCAGACTTTTCTCCTTCTCTGGACCTTCAGGGAGCTCTTTTCCATTCCCCACATTTACGGGTAAGCAGAGAAGTATCCATTATTACACATCAAACAAGAGCTGCCACCAAGTGTGTAACTCATCCACTGAAAGTGTAACTAAAGCCAGCAACCTCCTATGCTTGTGGATTAAAAACATGGGCCACAGCAGTAAAGGATTCAGCTGGGAGTCAGCCTCCCTTCCCTCATTTATTATCAGCTCTCTGGGAACTAATTCAGCACACTCAGTCCTGCTCCACACACAATTAAATCCTTGCACAGAGCTCTGCAGCTGCTAACGCTTCTCTTCATCTTATGACAGTCACAGGGATCAGAGGGGAGGAAAAAGCTGCTACCATGCTACTGACTCAGGTTCAACCTACTTGCCTAGCTATAAAGTTGAGCATTCGGCACAAGAAAGAAGTCTTGTTTTTCACAGATCTGCCATTCTTGATGCTAGATGCCCGGCTTGGAGGAGAAATGAGTAATTATTGATTTCTTCAGCTAATGAAATGCTGTGAGAAATTTATCTGCTATTATCCCATCTTTAGCTGGCAGAAACTGTACAGCAGACAATGGGGCTCTGTCTAAAACCTGGATTTAATAATAAATATACAGCAAAACTCGGATTTGATTTCACTATTCATTTCACATTCTCACTCCTGTGACAAATACCTTATTTCAGAACTCTTCATTTTCTGAAGACAGAACTAAGCCAAAACATGAAATCCCTGGTAGCAGCTACAATCTCAGAGCTAGACAAGTATCTAAAACGTATCTGCTAGCAGGAACCTTATTTGAGTCTGGGGATCACCATCTGCTAAACAAATTGCCCCCAGCCAGATGTGTCTAAAAACATTTTAATCCAGAAGAAACCAGAAATGTGGCCATCTCCTGGAGCTCTGAGGACCCAAGAAGAAAATATAT